AGAGAGAGAGAGAGAGAGAGAGAGAGAGAGAGAGAGAGAGAGAGAGAGAGAGAGAGAGAGAGAGAGAGAGAGAATCCCCGTATTCTGTGGGTTTTCCTGTGGTAAGGGGCTGCTTGTCCAGTAGTAGTGTTTTGGGGCATGGTCAGTTCGACAAATAAGAGTGTGGAGGGGAAAGGGGTGAAGGGAGGGAGAAGTGATGGACGAGGAAAAGCGTTTACATTTGTTGTGTGAACAGAATGCCCACAGTATGTTCTACCAGAGCAGCAACGGGTCATGAACTTATGAAACTGGCAAGGGCTGATTTCCAAGTCTGTCCAGTGCTGCGTAGATTATAGAGAGACAACTTTCTTGGATGTTTTGTGAAATTGATGTGGCTGCAGGCTGTATTGTTTCTAGGCACCGTGAAATGGTGAAACACGCGACCTCCTTGCTACGAGGACATTCGTGTGAGGTACATGGAGTTTAAAGAGGATAGAAGGCATTTTTTAGAAGTGTGTCCACTTGATTCACAGACTTCCAGAGCCATAGATTCAGTGCTGTACTTTCTTTCTTGTGCATAGATTCAGTGCTGTACTTTCTTTCTTGTTTTTAGTTGAAGGAAGAATGGAGCAGTCTAGGTCACAAAACGATTTCTCGGTGTTGTTGTTGGAGTGGTAAGAAAGCTCGATGAGGGGTATGAAATATACAAACCTTTTTCTTTGATTAATGTGTGTGTGTGTGTGTGTGTGTCTGGACTCGGGAACCATTAAGCTGAGGTTCTGAGGTCCGTCACTTGTGATCCAATCTCAGTCATCTGGAGGATAGGGTTTCTGACACGGCGGGACGGGACGGCTGAATGGGGCTGGGGTGTGGGTTCGAGTTGGGGGTGCGGGATGGGGGTGTGGGGAAGGCGGGGGGACACTCGTGGCCTCGCAGGTGGAGTGGAAACTGAGGCTGTAGCTGCTGCTGGTTCTGGATTTGTGAGCGAGTTCAAGGTGGACATGATGTGTGAAGGTTGTGTAAATGGGGTCACAAGAGCGTTGCAATCACTTGAAGGGGTACATTCATTTGAAATAAGTCTCAAGGACAAGTTGGTGAAAGTAAAGGGAACTGCCACCGTCGAGAGTTTAGAGCAATCGTTCAGCAGCGTGGGCAGAACATCTGAGTTACTCTCTCAGATGCCAATATGAGCTGCACGCAAATCGCAAATTGCGTTGGTAGTTGTGATGTGAAGCACAAGTTTTTTTTTTTTTTGTGTGTGTGCTTGTGGGAGTCTGATGAAATCCAAATGATCTCCTAGTGCATCAGAGAAGTTGGTGTGCCTCCTGAGATGCCAACCGCTCATGCGATCATGATACGGTTGATCAGGTTAATCACGCAGCTCATCCGTTGAGAGTAGAGTTTAGAAAGGCTGATGATGGACTGTGCATACTTAGAAGTTAGGTGAGAAATCCTCCACACAGCGATAGGTGTGTGATGGCTTTCCAATGTTTCCATGGAGTTGACGTCCATATTGTCTCTGCCGTTGTAGCAGCTCTATTGTGGCTTAGGTTTGCGTTCTTGCATCTGGATTGCGTATAGACCATGGGGATGACATCAAGTTGGCATGGACATATTACTTTTGAAGTGGATGTTGTTAGTTTGTCAAATGCTCAAGCGCCTGCTTGGCCCTTATGGCAGCGCTAAAGATTTGTCTATTGTGTTTTTACAATCATTGCAGCTCTGGTCTGGCTTAAGGTTGTATTCTAGTACTATTCTAGTACTCCTTACATCTGAATTTCTTAGCGCCTTCAAAGATTTTGAGGTCGTAAACTTTTGACGTTTTGAGCGCATAGCTACGTTACAAAAAGGGCTTCTGGCCCAGATTGCGTGGTCGGGTCGGATTGGTCTAACTTGGCAGGTGGAGGGCAACACCATCTAATCAGGCAAGTCGGAAAAGGCCTGTAGTGACGCGGATAAGCAACCGAACCGATGGCTCCCAGAGTAGATGGGGCCGTGTTTGCTCAGACATCTTCTATGGCTCTCAGCCCTTGGAGCTGTTGACATGGGTGTGTGGAAGGTTGAATTTTCACCTTCAGGCCTGGAGGTATTGACAGCTGCGGGCGTTGTTTAACTTTGGTTGTGTTTCCAGCGAGCTGTGACATCGGAGTGCTGGCCAGTCCCTTGTGGATATGGATGTTATCCTTTCCCTGGGTACATTGTGGTATAAGGCTGTTTGTCCTTCCCCCTGGGTGCACTGGGGATGTTGAACTTGGTTGTGTTTCCAGCGAGCGAGCTGTGACATTGGAGTGTTGGCCAGCCTCTTGTGGATATGGYTGTTATCCTTTCCCTGGGTACATTGTGGTATAAGGCTGTTTGTCCTTCCTCCTGGGTACACTGCAGATAAGACTGTTCATCCATCCACTGGGTACACTATAGATGTGGATGAATGTCATAACATGCTGCCCTTATGCATCAGGGCAGGGTCTGGTGCCAGTTTTGACAGGCCCTGTCATTCCTGCTTGTTTTAGTCAGTGATTATGATGGAGGTCTATCGTGTGAGAGAGTGAAGGCGTGTGTTTGTTGTCGAGGTGGGTGTTTTAGGCACTTCCCATTCAACTAATCGCTTGTATTTTTCAGAACCTTGCTCTTCGGGAAGAGTCATGAGCCATGATTTTGTGCCCTTGTTCTTGAGGCATTGGAATCTCTTTTTTATGACAACTCACATGCACACATCCGCACATCCACACATCCACATGGGCAGTAGCGATGCGGGCATGCAGCCATACCCGACTGAGACATTTTGTGAGTCAGTCCGCGAAGTCAACTTCGTTGCTGTTTTCCGATAGGACATCCATCGACCAAAGAAAGGTTTTACCCATGGCGTTCCGCCTTTCATTGCATCCTTTCTTCGTTCATCTTGCAAATCTCATTTCGATCAGATGTTTTGTCTGTTGTCATTTGCATCTGATCTTTGTCTCCTTTAGACTAGAATATGTTTTGTTCTTTTTTTTTTGGTTGGAAAAAAAACAGAACCTTACAGTTCTGGCTACTAGAATATGTACAGAATGTCAGAAAAAGGCCACATTCAAATTTTCATTTCCATGCTTTCGCTGTGTTTCTCACTCTATAAGGACATTCTCACACTTGGCGTTTCAAGGGTGAGTCTAGCTATAAATAAATGCGGTGGCATACGTTTAGGACAATGCTGGTGTGAGTACAGCCTAAGTTGCATCTGAGAGACAAGCTTGGGCTGTCAATTTAGTTCATGTATAAGCGACATTTGCCTGTATATTTCAGGAATCAGGACCCCGGACGAACCTCGATAAAATTGTCAATCTGAAAAAGGCTAGATTGAACTAAATGTTCCTCCAAACGGCAGCAGAATGCAGGTAGAGTCGGAAAAGACATCATTTCAAGTACTGCCCATAGTGTTTGGCAAATTGGCAGGCAATACATGCTGGGTAAGCGACATCAATAATCTGTTGCTGTGTTTTCTTCACTTAACCAAGTCCTTCAAACTAGAGAACAGACGCAGCAAAAAGACATCATTTCAAGTAGTGCCATAGTGTTTGGCAGGCAATACATGCCAAGGTAAGCAACACCAATCTTAAATACTATCTACGCTATGTAGTATGTAGTATGTACTAGTCTATACATATCTGTAGTAAGTAGTATCTACTATGTACTAGTCTATAATACATATCTGTAGTAAGTAGTATGTACTATGTACTAGTCTATACATAACTGTTGCTGTGTTTCCTTCACTCAATTAGTATATATTTCAGCCTCCTGATGAGTTGGTGAAAACTCCGACGAAACAGTTTGTCACAGGCCCCCCTCGTTTTTTGTCCTCTTCTCCCTCCCTCTCTGCCTACGGTTTACCGTAGGCAGCTCTGTTTGACGATATATGCTAAGTCCTTCAAACTGGAGAATGGAGGCAGCCTTGGAAAGGACCCATTTCATTCTAGTCATTAGGAGAATATACATGGAAGATGCTGATAAGTATTCTCTTTTAGTAAGGTTTTACTATCTCTATGCTGTATATAAATACTATGCAGTCTCTTTTAGTTAGTTTTTACTATCTTTATGCTATATATCTCTGTTTGACGATATATATAGTCTCTTTTAGTAAGTTTTAGTAACTTTTTACTATCTTTATGCGATATAGTCTCTTTTAGTATTTTTTACTATCTTTATGCGATACATAGTCACTTTTAGTAAGTTTTTACTATCTTTATGCGATATGTAGTCGCTTTTAGCAATCAAGAACTCAGCCCAATCAAGTAGCCAGCTTGCGTGATCTACTGATTGTTGATTGACTTGATTGATTGATTGATTGATTGTTTATTAGTAAATCAAGTAGGACTTCGTCAAATCTCTGCAATTTTTTTTATTTTTTTTTTTCTCTTTTTGCCTAGGCTACCAGCCGGGCCGCCCGGGTCCCGGTGGCCAGCCCGTGCAAGGACCAGGGAAGGTCCCAGCAAAAAAAGAAAAAAAACTTCAAAAAAATCCGAAAAAAAAACTATGTTATGCAGAAAAATAAACTGAACAACTTTTGCCTCAGGGTCACATCGAAATTCTGCACCAAATTTAGGGGAAAAAATCATTTTTAAAAATTTTTATTTTTATTTTTATTTTTTTAATTGTTTTTGGCCCGGCCGGGCAAGTAACCCCGGGCCACTCTGGTAGCCTAGCTTTTTGCAAGTTCGGATATTAGCATTTCGTTTTCACGCAACAAATATCTGAAAATTTCTGATAGTAGCATTTCGTTTCTCTGTGCAAGGAAGATGAGCATTAGCGAACTTCAGCAATCAAACCGCATCATACATATGAGCCCAGATAGTTTTGACCTCGAACCACAGCAGACTGGCATCACGAGATACACCAAATAAGAACACAC